CTTGATGTTTGTGGTTCTGATGTAGTAGTTTAGAACTTTTTCCTCAATACATAGTGGCAAAGGAAGGAGCTCTGCTAGTATCAGAGAGGCATTTGTAGAAACGGTTCTGCAGCACTTTGAAATTCTGATGGCAAACTGTCTTTGAAGAGAGTAATTTATTTGCTATTGAATTTTTACTAGTTACATGACCCCAGCTAGAGGCTGCATAAAGTAGCATTGGTTGTATTGCCCCATTATATAGAGTTTTACAAGATTTATGATTTAGTCCCCAGGTGCATCTAGCACATTTTAGCAGCATGTAGTTTATTTTCTTGGCCTTAGCCAAGATATAATCAATATGATAACTGTATGTGAGTTTAGTATCAAGGATTACTCCCAGATACTTTTGCCAATCTAACCATTTGATTAAGTTACCATTTAGTAAAACCTTGGGGTATGTAAATTTGTAATTGTTGGTGAAAAGCATGGCTTTGGTCTTATAAGTACAGAATTGGAGTTTATTAAGATAGGCCCATTTGGAAGCTCTACTTTCCAGAAAAGCAGTGTCCCTTTGCTGACACACAATGACAAGGTCATCGGCATAGGCTTGAACACTAATTGTCTTGTCATATTTGGTTTTCAGAAAGGAATTTACCACCAGGTTCCATAAGAAAGGAGATGGGATACCACCTTGAGGGCAATATTTAGTTAGGAGTTTTTAACAGAGTGATCATGGTAAGTGATCATTTTCCTATTAGTTAAAAAAGAGGAGACCAACTTGATAAGATAGATTGGACAATCTAGTTGGGAGAGATCATTGATAATGCTTGAGTGCCAGTAGTTGTCAAAGGCTCCTTTAACCTATTCGATGTTGAAATTTTTATTTGTTGCCTGTGACACCATGTTGAATTTTCGTCTATGTTAAGCCTAAAATTTTTTTTTTAAATAATAATTGTGTTTACTGTATCGTAAAAAATCATTTTTTAATGTTTCACAAACAAAATATATATATTAAATAATATAAAAACGAAAAAAATTTTATTTTAAAACTTCGTTTTAATATAAAAATTGTGACGCAAAGCGACATCTAGTATCAAAAACGTTCTGATGTAAACACGGAAATATTCAGGATCGCCCACGCAGGTCAATGAGGTCAACATGAATATTTTTGGGATCAACATAGAACAGGTTAATATCCAAAAATATAGCTGCAGTATAAACTTTGTTATTCAGGCCTTCTTCTTTAATGTCTGTCAAGGCATAGATGGCATCTTCAGCACTTCTGCTTTTTCTGAAGCCTTACTGGTTTGGGTCAAGCCAGTAGTACGTATTAGCATGCCACACAAGTCAGCCTAAAATAATTTTTTCAAAATCTTTACCTATTACTGGAAGAAGGCTAATTTGTCTATACTGTTTGGAGGGGTTGTCATTTTCAGTCTTTGGCTTTTTGATAAGGATGACATTGGTAATTTTCCACTGATCAGGAAAGCAAGAAAGTCTTAGGCAGGAGTTGTACAGACTGAGTAGACGTGGCTCCAAAAGGTTGAAACACATCTGTAGCATTTTGGAATAGATCTCATCACATCCTGGAGCCTTATGAGGTCCCACGGAGAAAATAGCTTTCTTGAGTTCGAAAGTGGAGAAATAATTATCTATCAGTTGGAGCTGAACACACACTTTGACAGTTTTTTCTGATTTGTGTTCAGAGAATTCATCTGTAGTATTATCTCCAGGAAAAAGTTGTGCAGCCAGGGCTGATAAAGCAGATTTGATATCATAACTTTGATGGATGTTATCTATGGGTGCCAGAAGTGTAAGATCTGTGTTGTTCCTGTTTAAAATCCTATAAACGTTTTTCCATGGATTAAGATTTCCCTTTGTATGTTCTGCCAGGATTTCAGCTTTTCTGACTCCATTTCTCTAATATATTCCTTTTTTGCTGACCTGTAGTCAGTTTCTTGATTGACTCTCAATTGGGATTTTTCTGCCTTTGAAATTTGTGCCTATGGGAATTGACCTGTTTTCTCAGAAATGTTAATGCTGGGTCCACCACAGTACAGCTTTTTTTAGAGGAACTTTCCTGGGAATGGCTTTCTCTGCTGCATTTTTCAGAATGTTATTTAGCCTTAAGCCCCATTTATCAATTTCCTGTTCAGTGTTAAGATAGGTTAGTGTACTTAAATTATTCAATTTTTCTTGAATTAGACCATAAAACATTTACCAGTTTGCTGTTTTTAGGTTGAAGGCATTACTTTTTGTAAGGCAAAGCCTGTGTTGCTGTTCAATGCAAAAGGAGATGGCTCTGTGATCAGAAAGCATCTCCTGTTCTACCAGAGACCAACCTGTGATCTTTTTAGCCAGAGAGGAGCCAGTGATAGTTAAATCAATCCAACTTTTGCCCAGAATAGAGTCATAAGTTGAATCACTTGGTTCATTTATAACAGTAAAATTTTGATATTCTAAGAATTCTTCAAATTGGGTACCTCTGCTATATTCTATGATATCATACCAAAGAGTGTTTCTGGCATTGAGTCAACACCAATCAGCAGCCTATTCTTATTTCTTATCAATTGGTTCATAGGTTTCCTCTAAAAAAGAGATGGCATCATTCAGAAGCCAGCCAGGGTAGCAATAAACTGGAGATAAGAACAGAACAGTATCCAGAGTAATAGATATTACAGTGCAGTACTCATTACATAGCTGGGTTAGCTGCAATATGGGGATATTTGGTTCATATAATAATGCAAGCTAGGGGATTGAGGACAGCTGCAGAGATAATCTTGAAACTCCCAGGAAAGCCAACAACTTTGGTATTATATATGTAAGGATCCTGTAATAGAGCAATGTCTATGTCATTATCTATTAAGTATTTTGCCAGATTTCCTGTGACAGCCTTGGAGTGATTGACATTAAATTGAAGAATTTTAATATGATTCTTGGTATATAGCTTCTTCATAGTCTGTTTTTTCAATCAGTTTTGATTTAACTTTTAAGTATACAGGACATTCTGGGTCCATGGCTTTGAGAGAAACATTTTGAACATTGATTTTTAGACGTTTAGCCCATCTGATACAAATAATGCACTTAATAACAGAAGACTTGGTCTTTTCCACACATTCTACATCTATGATCCTCGACACCACAATGTGAGCAGGTCTGGTTGTTCCGGTACACATTTTGAAGCAATATGACCAAATTTACAGCAGTTGTAGCAATGTTTGATTCCTAAGTAATTAAAGACTTGATGAGATCTAAGTCCTATATACACACTTCTGTTTTTTAGTAAATTTTGATGAACTTGTGGTGTGGTCAACAAAACCCATGTTTTTTCTTGAAGAGAGTCTGCCTTGATCTGAAGGAGAATAGTGGTTGTAGTATCTGATCTTTTTCTTTAAGTATTTTTTTAAGTTATCATTCTGTACAATGACAGTGTTAAACAACTCCTCTTTATTTAGGTTAGAGCACATATGGTGTATTTGAACTAAGGGCTTTCTTTTAGTTTTCTTTCTTGTCGAAAATTTGAATTTGGAGTCATTATTATTGTTGATTATTTCAATAATTTTATTGACACCGGCAGTGTTGGATATTTGGAGGTTGACTGTCCCATCTTTTTGCACCAGACAGGAGTCAATCCTGATGCCATTTGTAGCTGGTTTTAGTACAGATCCTAAATGACTTCTGACTGTATTTTTATCCACTTGCAAGTTTTTAATCCCTGGAGTTAACAGTAATGTCTCCTTTTTTTGTACTTGACCAGGCTGGTATGGACTTTGACTCTTGAAGCTTTAACAGCATTTGCATATGATTTCAATTGCAATTGATAATGTATTTTATCATCTTGCATTTTAACTATTTCTTCTTGTACTACACTGTATTTATCTAAACAACATAAATGAATGTCAGTTATCCTTTGTATTAGTTGATCCATTGTGTAGCTTTCTTGTTGGTTGACTGGTATTTATTCACTATGGGCTGATAAATACTTTTTAGTTGGTTGATGGCTTCTGTAAATCTTAGTTTCAATATTTCTTCAATGGCTGCAGAGATGTTTTCTGGGGTAGCTTTAGATTTGCACCCAGGCATCGTGCTGCAGATTAGGCTTAGCTATCACACTAAGCCATGTGCAAGAGTGCAGGGTTGACTAGCAACAAAATAATACAAATTTTTAATACTCACATGGACCAGAGGCCAAAAATCAAAAATAAGACAACCAAATGTTTTGAAGAAATAATAGAAATAAATTAATAATAAAATTAGAACTGGAACAAAGACAAAGCACTGTTCAACTTGACGCCACCTGGCAATCCTCTTAGTAATTTGTGTTTTTAAATCTAAATATCAAAATATTCAGATTTGCATTTGTATGTCATTATATCTGTTGTCTTCATGCTATCTTCAAAGTTTAAATATAATTTATTTTAAATTAACAGCAAAGCAAATTTTTAAATTGCTTTTAAACCCTTGCTATATTTTAGAACCCTTGTTTAACTCCAATAAGTCCTTTTTGTAGAAAATGGACAAATGTTTTCAATCCTTTTCCCTCATTGGATCTTCTTCAAGTCCAGATTTTCTTACAAAAGTAAGAATCCAAAACAAACTTAATTACGAATTCCAAAGTTTTGTAGACAATGTTAATCGGTTTTCTGTAAAATAACTTATTAGAGTTAAACAAAGATTCTAAAATAAGGTGTGTTATGTACAAAAACTCCAATCTATAAAAAGTTTGTGATATTCAAATCTACATTTCAATAAGTATAATTTAAAAAGCAACATAATTTACAAGAAAGCATATTTATTTAGAAGTTACTCTCTAGCATTTTCAGATAAAGTCCATTGTCAGGAAAATATTTTCTCAATCATACATCTCCTGATGATGGACTTGACTGTCCAAAAGTGCTAGAAAGTAATTTGTAAATAAATGTGGAATCTAGTAAATCATTTTATTAGTTTTGTTAAAATATTCGTGTATTTATTAATATATTTTAATATTTAAATCAATAAATAATGATAATATATCTTACTTTGTCTTTATAAATACGAAGACAGCAATTTTTGTTAGGTAATTCTTTTTCTTTCTCAACTTCATGAATGCGATTAGCAATCCATGTTGCAGATAACTTTTCAGCCATAGCACGTGGAGTGTCTCCCTAAAGAGAAAATTAAACTTTGAAAACAAATTATATCTAAAGTTCAATATAAAAGCTAAATTTATATCTTCTGACCTGACCATTTTTTATAAAGACATTAGCCCCTTGTTTTAATAGAAGAGAGACTGCTACACCATTCCTTGCATATACTGCCCAATGAAGGGAAGTATTGCGATGATAGCGATCACTCATACTTAGACTAGCACCAAGAGTAAGTAGCAACCTTGTTGGATCATTTCTACTCATTAAAAATATTTTAGTATTACTACTTTAAAGCCTTAATGATTGTTTCTTAAATTCATAAAACTATTCAAAAATCTTACGTTGTAACTCTATATGCTGACCACATAAGAGGAGTCATTCCATTATGATCCATAACATTTACATCCTGTCCTTTAGCAACAAGATATGCCACAATTGCTGTATGACCAAACTGTGCAGCTAAATGAATGCATGCACATCCTACAAAAAACAAAAAATATTAATAAAAATAAACAATATAATAATAAAAATTTCATATGAAAATTTAGTTAACCTTCTCCATCTCTTAAGGAAGGATCAGCTCCATGTTGCATTAAAAGTACCACCATGGCTAAGTGACCTTGCCTGTATTAAAATTTAATAATATATAATCAACTCCAAAGACATCTAAATCTAGTTACAAAAACAATCTATTAACTGAACTAACTTTTTAATAATGTATGTAAAACTAATTAAATATACATTAAAATATTATATTATACCGAGTTGCCCAATGTAAAGGAGTAGATTTTAATTCTCCTCCGATTGCATCTACTTCAGCTCCTTTGGATATGTAATATTTTACAATTTCCTGCCGATTATTAATTGCAGCCCAATGAAGTAATGTAACATTTTCTTCATCTCTTTCATTTACATCATATCCATCTTCAATTATTTCTTTACACCGTTCAAAAATACCATGTTGGGTTGTTTTGACAATGTGAAAATTTCTATAATCTTCTACTCCTGAAGTAATAGAAGGTTCAGAAACTGGATCTTTCACATCAGGTGCGCTATGATGCCGATGTCTCTGATCTGTCGATATACTTTCATCTTGTCCAAGACACTGTTCAAAATTAATAAATTTATTTTGACATCATAAATATTTTCATTTCTAAGAAATAAAAATAAAAGCAAAAAGGGACTTTATATAAAGAAATTATAAAATATTAAATAAATGTTAAGTAATATTAAATATAACAGATTCAAATCCATTGTTAATTCAAACTATCAAAGTTTGAATTAACAAGGATTTCCTGTAGTATATTGGAATAAATTTGTATATATATTAAAAGCAAAATGTTCCATCTCCACCAAAACTGAAACCAACACTTCACAAAGAAGCAGCATGTAAGGCAAACCGGGTTGCCTGTGAAGTCTACAATTGGTTCCTCAAAAAGACTACCCATTAACTTCCTCCGTGGACTCAGCATGAATTCATGGAAAGAGGTAATTACCAAAGGAAGAAGGTCTTTGCATAAGGATAGGAGACATGAAAAGACTTCACATTTGACTCCAGCTTGGAGTTGAAGAGAGAGCTATTCATTTGCTCCCATAGCAACCATTCTTTAAGTTTGATTTTTAAATAATAACTTTTGGTTATATACAAAATACAGATATACAGATTTAGTTTTTATATCTGTATAAATATTAAAAGCAAAATGTTCCATCATTGCCATACACAAATAACAAATTTAAACATTAATTTGATTTTAATTAGTTTTGATTTTATTTTTTAATTTTGGTTTAGATTTTGGTGTAAAGGCCAGTGTTTTAATTATTTTATTATTTTTAAATTTAATTATAATTTTTAGTTTTAATTAATTTTTGTATCGTAATTTAAAAAACTTTTTTAATTTTAATTTTAAACGAGTTAACATTAATTGAACTGTTGGGCTACCTAGTTTACAGTAAAAACTTTAAAGCTTTTTTTTGTGAAACACTCTAGGCAAGTTTGAGGAACACTGGTTAAGAACCATTGTTCTAAACATTAAAAATTTCAACATGTTATTGATTAAAAAGCATCTACACAAATAATTTCAATTTTATTGTATCATCATCAAATGGTTAAAAAATCCAGCAATAAGTTGCTTAATTTTCCTGGCAACATTTAAAACTGCACCATCTGTTATGATATTTTCAATTATTATAAAATGGCAAAAGGCTTAATTTTGAGGGTAGATATGGGTTTATAAAAAATTGTAAATGCTAATAACAAGTAAAATCATCATTAATTCCAACCCTATTTGAGATATGACACACAAGCCCCCTTTATCTTCCCACCCTTCCAACCTTTAACCACCAAAATTTAATAGCATCAATCCCCTAATATACAAATCTCCCACAAAATTTCAGAAATTTTGGACAAAACGCACATGACTTATTAAGCTTTAGAAGGTAAAAAACTGTGCCCCCCACACACTTTAATATCCATACATACAGAAACAATCTTGATTTTTTTTTACATTTCTCAATGTTTCAAGGTTCCAAGTCCAAAAAGGTAAAAACCTTGGAGGGTCATTTTTTTTTACCAATTGCCATATTTTCCCTCTGTTATATATAATAGGAACAGGAAATATAAAATTATAGATATAGGTAAAATAACTGAAAATATTTAATGTATTATGTACTGTACTGTCACATTGCATAGAACTTTTTTAAAAATCTACTTACTTCCAATGCACTAAAATTCATTCTTTAACCTATCTAGTTTCATTTTTAATTACATTAATCTAGTGGGCAAAACTAATTTTATAATTTTCAATGTAATAAAAATATGGCTTATAAATTTTTTCTAGTATGATTTTAGTTTTAGGAAGCACTAATAGGCCTATATTTCTACCATTAAATATTAAGAATACTTTTAAGAACTAATTTCATCTAAATTTACTAAAATTCAATTTTAAAACTAGAAATACGAAATTCTAGATGAGACTAACAATGTTCAGAACACAAACATTGTATCATCAACTTTATATGTTAAAAATCGTCACTTAACAATTCTCATCTAATAATCATTCCTGATGCCTGTATTATTTGGTTACAACTAGAAATGGCTTCTCTAAAATTTGCATAGATGAATGTGTCTTTGTCAAAAATTAAATTTTAATAAATTGCATTGTCATTGCAAATAAAGATGCAAAGTTTAAGCACACTAAATCTTATAGAAGTAGGAAAAAACTTATCAAACATAATTAAAAACTCACAAACAATTTTTTCTTACAAACTGTTTTCTATTGTAAACTTGAATCTAATTTCTAGTTAAGTGATTATGATAAAATTTATAAGAGGTCAATATGTAAAAATAAATCTCTCTTAAATTAGATTAAATGCATTAAAAACATACATACAAATACATTAAAAACATAATTTAAAAGAAATAAATTTTGTCAATTTTTTTTTAAAGTGACAGCGATGCAAGATATGATATACCATATTATTTTGAGTTTAAAACAGTAACTTAAGGATTTCTAGAAAAAAATTGGATAATATTTAAAAATAAATTAATTTTTAAAAATTTATGAAAAAGTAGAAATGCTAATATTACAACTATATTAGCATTTCTACTTTTAAAGCATAATTAACAAAAAATGAGAAATTTGTCATAAAACTAAACTCTTGAGAAGTGAAAATTACCGTGAATTTAAAATCCTTAAATTTAAAATTCAAGAAACATAATAAAAATGCAAGTTAAATTCAAAGTAATATATTAATTTCAACTGTAGAAGAGAAAAAGTAACTTAGCTGTATCTGAAATTAAAACTTATTAAAAGAAAATATAAAATTACTACAAAACATATTGAGCAATGTGTTATTCAAAGCTGGAACTTAACAATAATTAAATTCACACCTTCCTTATGTCTTCCAGCAATGTGGTTTGATTAATTTCAACCTTTGTCTTCCAGCAATACAGTACTTTATTAAAAACAAACATTTTTAATAAAGTACTGTATTGCTGGAAGACAAAGGTTGAAATTAATCAAACCACATTATTGAAAACATATAGTTTAAAAAAAATTTATTTACTTTAAGCTTGTTTCACAAATTCTCTTCATACTCAATCATAACTGAATTTGAGTTTTGTTATGCATCTTAGTCAACAATCAGAACATGCAACAACCTGATTTGATTATAAATGCCAAATTTGCTGGATAAGCCAAAAGAATCTAGCAGTTTATTTGGCTGACTAAGATTTCCTCACTAATACAAAATATAATAGAAAATTCTAATGTTTATAACAACAGTAAAATCAAGTGCCACTTAAAATATGAATATTGTTATATGTTCAAAGCTACTTACAAACATGCTAGTAATAACTACAAGTGATATGTAAAATTATAAAATGGAAGACTGATCACTCTTCTGATGATAAAGGAATATTAAATGAGAAATGCTTTCAGAGACTTGATTCCAGCTAATAATAAATTTGTTAATATAATCTGAATAGCTTAGGAAGGGGATAAAACTACTTGCTCTAAGTATTATTTGAGAAATAATTATTACTCACACAATATAGAACGTGAGCATTTTCACATTATTTTTTATTTTTGACTACATTCCAAAATATGAATACTAGTTCTTTCGACTCCTTAAAAACTGTTCTTTTTAATTCTTTATCAAATTATCTGATGATCAGATTTAATCTACTTTGTTGTTTTCTAAAACTTTTTCATTTTATAGAACGTACTTAAAATTTTATTATAAAAAATCATAACATTGTGTCAATTTTGACATATAATTCACTTATACTAGCACTTTAATCTAAATAGCACTAGTCAAACTTACAATGTTCGCAACAGTCACAAATTTTCAACATTTACAATGTTTACAATGTATGTTTTCACACCTACAAATGGTGACCAGCTCAGTATGCCAATTACACAAAACAAAGTTCAAATAGTCCAGTATGCTGAACAGGTCCATCAAAAAGACACCTTGCGACGTATCTGAGTCGTAGCTAGATGTAAGCTCCTTCTCGCGGTTGTTGAAGAAACAGACGAGACAAATCCAACCTTGTCTTGAACTTAACATTAACCAACTCCCTTCCAACATGAAGTCCTAAGCGAAGCTTAACCTCCTTAAACAGAACTGAACGTAAACCAACTTAACTTTAACCAAGTTCCTTTGACCAACTTAACTGACCAACTTGAACTTTTCTTAGCCGAACTTAACTTTCCCGCCTTGACTTCAACCTTTTATATCGGTCAACAACAAGCTTGATGACCAATCAGTGTTTCGCTCTTCTGTCAGAGGTCCACTGGTGAGGTGATCAGCCAACCAATCAGCAGCCACACATTCAAAAACCAACAGTCATTTCTCCAACCGACTTTCTGCAATGTTGACCATTAATAGTTTGAAATTAAAAAAAAGGTGGGAATTGTGTTTCTGCACAATTCTATCCCAACAGCACTTATTCAAACCTTTGTTTCAAAAAATATCAAAATTACTATAAAAAAAGAGGACAAGAACTTTCTTGTCTGTAGTATTTTCTTTAATTGTCAAATGTATATCTCAATCAGAAAGAATTATATATATATATATATTAAAAGTTGGTGATGCTGTCAGTGACAAATCTGTTGGTAATTATATGATGATAAACAATTTGATGTTTGATGACAGAAGTTGTAATGCTGATCTCAATCAATCTATTGTTCACTTTTTAACCAATTTTCTTATTTATTATAAATATGATATAGTTTACAACAAACATAACACCACTATCATAATATATGCCATGAGCTTGGGGTCAATGCTAACGTCTGTTGCCAAACATGTGAGAGCATTTAAAATAAACCAGATCAGATCTTTAGAATGCCTGTAGACTTTCAACACATCTATTAAAGGAGAGTGCATTAATTTTAAAGTGTGCCAAATTACATCTATGGCAAGGAGAGTCTTCTTTAATAAACCACATAATTGGAGCAGTTATTACATGATGTCATGGCTATGTGCAATAACACAAAAGGATGAGACTACGAACAGGACACTTTATTATTCGTTCTGAGATGGATACACAGTTAATGGTGAACAACGATGTCAAGCGTGGGAGAAGAACGGTTCAACTGC